ACTTGATTGGATTGACAAATTAATTGCTTCTGTGTGTTTTTTCACACTCATATCAAGGTCTAATGTTCCTGAAAAATAATGCCCCCCTCCCACTCACTTTCCCAAGGGAAGCTCAACATACATTGGATAGCTCTTCAGCAGACACATCCTTCTTCTCTTCTCTTTTTTTTTAAGATTTTATTTATTTATTTCCTGAGAGAGAGAGAGCATGTGTGATCGGTTTGGGGGTTGGGGGGTGGGACAGAGAGGGAGAGAGTGGGGAAGGGAGAAAGGGAAGGAGAGAATCTCCAGCAGACTCCAGGTAGGGCTCCATCCCAGGACCCTGAGATCATGACCTCGGCTGAAACCAAGAGCTGATGCTTAACTGACTGAGCCACCCAGGAGCCCCCTTTCTTCTCTTCTTAAGTTGAGAGTGGAGCTATGTTATCTACTGTATCTGACCTTTTTTTTTCTATGGTTATTAAGTGCCCTCTCTGCCATCTGCTCTGTATTTCTCAGGAAACTATCAATGCCACTGGCCATTTAAAAATAACTTTACGAGTAGTGTGAGTTAGGACTATAGCAAAAGGAAAGAATTTTAAAAAGTATGAAGTTATCAAGAAAGGAAATGAATAAAGTGCAGATTAATGGAGAACATCCAGATTTAATTATATTTGAAACCAGTAAATTTAAGGCAATGGAAATACATTTGTGTGGATGTTCCTTCTGGAAAAACAGGTCAGACAATTTGGTCCATTTAATCATAATAATTTATTCAATACTTTGCTTGCTAAGAAAGTAAAGAAGATTTTTAAATGCCAAATAACATGGCTAAATACTCTCTTCCAGAACACTTTGTAATCATGTTTTGATCCCACAGCTTTAGTGAAACTATTTCTTCTAGCCAAATCCATTGCTATTAATTACTCCTTAAAATTCTATCTTCTGTTATATCCTACTTCCCCACTCTCACCCTCTCTGCTCCACTACGTGGGTAGGGTATGCTTTTATTTTTCTTCTTACCACTCCTACTTTACTTCCACTGAGTTCCTGGCTTGGATTTTCTGCTCTTTTCCCTCCGAACTTAACTGTCCGTGAGAATTTTGCCCCATAGCTCCATTTCTTGGTTGAAAATTCCAATCTGAATGCTGTGTTCCTTATTGCAGACTAGCTCCATATTTCCAGCTATCTAGAGGACATCTCCCCTTGCTTAACACATATTCGCTATTGAGAAGACAAAAGTGTCAAGTTACAAAGAGAATAAAGAAAACAACCCTAACCTCAAAGTATTTACAATTATCCAGAGATCACAATGGATGAACTAGCAGAGGAGGTAAGAATTCATTGAAGAGATTAGTGGGTGTTAAAACTTGAAAGGTAAGGAGATTGTAGGCTGCAAATGTTCTTAGGACTCCAAAAAATCAGTCCAAATATCAACAACTGATGGGAGGAAGCAGACTCTCTTATCTTTAGTCATCTGTTACACATTTTTTGTGGTCTACTATGTGTCAGATACTCTTCTAAGCACTGACACTAGTTTTACAGCAATGAAGAAAATACACAAAGTCCTAATTCTTCTGGAGTTTGTATTCAAGTGGAAAAGTCAATGAATAAATCAGTGAAACAAATGAAAAAGATAATTTCATCTGGCCGTAAATGCTATGAAGAAAATGACTGGCTGATGTGACAGAGAGTAACTGAGGAGGTTACATCTGGACTGACACTCGAACGGGGAAAAGAGACAGGCATGCACAGAAGGGATTTGGGGGCATATATTCCAAGCAGAGGAATAGTAAGTGCAAAAGCCCTGAGGTTGGAATAGGCTTGGCGTATTTGTTGGGACAATAGAGGCTCATGGATGTGGAGTATAGTGTGGAAAGGAGAGAACATTGTGAAATTAAGTTGAGAAAGTGGACAAGAACCAGACATGTGGGTCTTAATCTGTCAAAATAAGAGTTTGAATATTTATTCTAACTGTTCACAACAAGAAATTGATGGCACTTCATTACACAACATAAACACATTGACTGAACATGTCAATAGAAACTGAATAACTAGCAAAAACACAGTATCTGTCAATATTTAACCATTATTATTTAAGACTCAGAGACAATGAATCCAGGGACATGAAAGTGGTCGCTAGAGAAATGTGTTCTTTGCAGACTAAGGATATTTTCACAGAGGCTAAGTTAAGTATCGTTGCCTATGCTCAAGTCACAAAAACATTCTCCTATGATTTCCTTAAAAGCCCAATGATTAAGGTTTTTAGAGTTAGGCTTAAGAGCAATCTCCAGTAAATTATTATGTATGGTATGAAAGTAGGGATCAGGTTTTTTTTTTTTCCAAACGAGTATTTCAGTTATTCCAGCACCATTTATGAAAATACCTTCTATTCTTTGTTATATTGTTTTGGGCCTTTTATTAAAAAATCAAATGACTATAAGTCATGGGTTTATTTCTGAGGTATTCATTCTGTTCCATTATTCTGTTGGTTGATCCTTACGTGAATACCACACAGTCTTGATTTATTAAGAATCATGTAGTTATGTGAATCATGAAATCGGGTAATATGTGTCCTTCATCTTTGTTTTTCTTTTCCAAGATTGCTCTGCATATTCAGGCCCTTTGCATATCCATATACATTTTTTAATCAATTTGTTAATTTTTACCAAAAAACAAAAAACCCCCATTGGGTTATGATTAAAATCATATAAAATCTATAGATCTATTGAGGAGAATTAAATTCTCAAAAATACAGCATCTTAGAATCCATGAACATGGTATAGCTCTCCATTTAATTAGTTTTTGTAATTTTCAATGTAGTGGTCTTTGACATTTTTTGTTAAATTTACTGCCAAGTATTTTATGTTTTTGACACTATTTAAAATTATTTTTTAATTTCATTTTCTAATTGCTGCTAATATATAAAACACAATAGATTTTTACATAGTAATTTTGTATCCTATAATATTGTTATATATGTTCATTACTTCTAAAAGTTCTTTGTTGATTTTGTAGGATTTCCTTTGTAAACTATTGTGTTAGTTGTGAATAAAGACAAACTAACTTCTTTTCCCCTAATATTTCTTCCTTTTCTTATTGAACTAGCTAAGACTTCCTATATAATAATGAATAGAAATGGTGAAGGTGGACACTCTTGTCTTATAAGATAGGAGACTTTAAAGCTAAAAATGAAAAAGAGAATAAACTCAGAATAAAAGATATTTTCCAGAAAGCAATTTTGTAATTTTGCTTTAAACATTCATATGAGTTTAAAGAAATAAAAAGAAAAAATATTCTATACCTAAATGATATAACACTTCACATTTCTGAAATTCTTAATGTCTTCATCAGTATAGGGACTGATTTCTAGTATTAGTTCTCTTCAACCTGAAGAACTTTCTTTATGATCACTTATAATATAGTAGGTTTTCTGGTAGTAATTTCTCTTTTTTTCTTTTATCTGAAATGTTCTGATTTAACCTTTATTCTTCTTTTTAAAGAATTTTAAAAATTTTGAATAATCTCTCCACCCAACGTGGGGCTCAAACTCACAAACCCAAGATCAAGAGTCACATGCTCCACTGACTGATCCAGCCAGGCACCCCTAAGCTTTATTCTTGAAGGATATTTTCAATGACTATACAATTCTGGATCAACAGTTTTGTACTGTTGTTTTAAAACTTCAAAGATGTTCCAATATCTTTTGGCCTCCACAGTTTCAGATAAGTCAGTGATTATTTGAAACAGTGTTCCTCTGTGTGTAACATGTCATTTTTTTCTTATATTTGGTTTTCAGCAATTTTACTATGATGAGCATTGTTTCTTATTTATCTTGCTGAAGGTTTGCTGAAATATTTGATTGCTAAATTGGGGGAATTTGAGGATATTATTTCCTTAAATGTTTTTCATTTCCAAGCCTTTCTCCTCTCCTGAAACTTCAGTTACTTGCAAATTAGATATTTTGCTATTGTCCCACAAGTACCTGAGGCTTTTGCTATTCAAATTTTTTCCCTCTTTTACAGATTAAATTTTATTTATCTATCTTCAAGTTTTACTGACTCTTTTCTCTGTCATCTCCATTCTGTTGTTATGCCAATACAGGGAATTTTAAAATTTCAGATATTGTATTTTTTCAGCTAGAATTTTCATTTGGTTCTGTTTTATAGTTTCTGTACTCTTACTTAGCTTTCTAAATTCATTATGAGAAGATATTCCTTTATTCCATTGAGCATAAGTGTAATATCTACTTTAAAGTCCTTGTCTGTTAATTCTAACATCTGGATTATCTTGTGTTTGATCTCTATTGATTGTTTTGTCTTCTGAAATGGGTCATATTTCCCTTGTTGTTCATGTCAAGTAATTTTGTATTGTATCCTGAATATTGGGAATGATGCAGAAATTTTCAATTCTTTATATTACTCCAAATTGTTGATATTTAGAGATATTTGGATTTGGATATTTATTAATTGCTTGTTGGTTTTGTTTTAACAAGTAATTAACTTGGCTGGATTAAAACTATAAATGCAGCCCTTTGTTGCAGCTTCCATCTCAGTTTGATCATTTTATCCTTAGCTTGGCTGCTTAGTGTCTGCCCCATGCATCTGTGTTTCAGGGTCTTCCAGAGACTTTGGTGGAATGATAAAACAGAATTTGAGACTTACCCCTCTGGCTCTCTCCTTATGGGATTTCCCCTTCACTTTCTGGCAGCTGATATTGCACTAAACAGTCCTCTGCTCATTCAAACCTCTGAGTTTTCTAACAGATTTTCGCCACCTTGTACAGTATAGACAATGCTCTGTCCTTAGGCTTAAGGCATAGAAACAGGAGATTCATCATAAGCCCATTCCTTCTTTCTTTCTTTTTTTTTTTTTAAGATTTTATTTATTTATTTGAAAGAGAGAGACTGAGAGAGAG